GCCGCCTACGCAGAAAGTTCTGCGCAAAAATACTTCCGTCCGCCTTTTCTGGCAACACAGAATTAGAGGTCTACTTAGTAAGGGTTATAATCGCTTAGCGCGGCCGAAGGCCACCAACGCAGAAAGAAGTTCTGCGAAAAATTACTTCCGGTCCCCTTTTCCGGCAACACAGAAAGGAGAGTTCTACTTAGTAAGGGTTATAATCCCTAAGCGCTGCCGAAGGTCGCCTACGCAGAAAGAAGTTCTGCGCAAAAATACTTCCGGTCCCCTTTTCCGGCAACACAGAAAGGAGAGTTCTACTTAGTAAGGGTTATAATCCCTAAGCGCTGCCGAAGGTCGCCTACGCAGAAAGAAGTTCTGCGCAAAAATACTTCCGGTCCCCTTTTCCGGCAACACAGAAAGGAGAGTTCTACTTAGTAAGGGTTATAATCCCTAAGCGCTGCCGAAGGTCGCCTACGCAGAAAGAAGTTCTGCGCAAAAATACTTCCGGTCCCCTTTTCCGGCAACACAGAAAGGAGAGTTCTACTTAGTAAGGGTTATAATCCCTAAGCGCTGCCGAAGGTCGCCTACGCAGAAAGAAGTTCTGCGCAAAAATACTTCCGGTCCCCTTTTCCGGCAACACAGAAAGGAGAGTTCTACTTAGTAAGGGTTATAATCCCTAAGCGCTGCCGAAGGTCGCCTACGCAGAAAGAAGTTCTGCGCAAAAATACTTCCGGTCCCCTTTTCCGGCAACACAGAAAGGAGAGTTCTACTTAGTAAGGGTTATAATCCCTAAGCGCTGCCGAAGGTCGCCTACGCAGAAAGAAGTTCTGCGCAAAAATACTTCCGGTCCCCTTTTCCGGCAACACAGAAAGGAGAGTTCTACTTAGTAAGGGTTATAATCCCTAAGCGCTGCCGAAGGTCGCCTACGCAGAAAGAAGTTCTGCGCAAAAATACTTCCGGTCCCCTTTTCCGGCAACACAGAAAGGAGAGTTCTACTTAGTAAGGGTTATAATCCCTAAGCGCTGCCGAAGG